TATATGTATGTATAGACAATATGTATGGTGCTATCAAGGTGTTCCCTTTTCAACTTGTATACATTTCAGAGCGAGAGGAATCGCATTTTATCAATTCAAGCCACGTCTGATGTTAAAACAAACCACCTACATCTTGCAGACAAGCGCGCAACACTGTGCTTTTTGTTGATCAAACTCATCGCATAAAGAGTAAGCTTAAGCTGGAAGATTTTCAAAGCCATGCAGATCAGCCACAAGCCTTGGAAGGTGACAATGACGTAGGCGGCAAGCCGAATCCTCAGGACAGAATTGTGATGCTAGTGTGCAGCCACTTTTCCGAAGTGCAAGGGCCTCGACACCGTTGTTCGTAGGCATAGATGTATGCTTTTGGCAGGCCTTAGTGAAGTTTCTCGAGATGATAGTGTTGTCGATCCCTCAACAAGCCATACCCTTCTTCGAAGCTCGACATTCTCGACATTGCTTGCGCAAGGAACAAGGAAGGAAGAAGAAACACAGCAAGCAAGCTCGTGGCCGAGCCGAGGTTCCCATCATTGGCGGGACAGCTTTGGCCCACATTGTGACTATTTGCCATTCAGTCCGCCAACTGGTGTGTCAACCTGCAATGTACAACTTTGAAGCCTTCGAGGCTTCAGTGTGCTCAAGCTATTGGCTTCCATTGGAGAATTGCCTTTTCAAGAGCAACTAATATGTTTTCGTATTGGTTACTCAATGTTGTATGTCATGAGGTATCTATTGTAGTATGTGATCGAACGGGGCTGCCGCCCACAGTCAGCTGTGCCCAAAACAGGCAAGGACTTCGGTATGGCAGAGTGAGGAGGAACAAACAAGAAGAACAACAAGAACGACAACTTCCTCCCCCTCCTCACTACGGACGAATCTCGCATCCCAATTTGGGTCGCGAAGCGTTTGTGTCTTTTGGTTTCTCTAGGTCTTCAAAAAGCGTTGTCCCATGAAAGGGGAGCTCCTCTAGCCACCGTCCTCGGAGAAAAGCTCAACAGCTTAAAAAACAGCAGAAATACCAGATCTCATTGCACAACTGGGCCAAAAAAATGCTGGAGGTAAGCTGCTGCGCCTTCAGGGGTGTCAAGCTCGCCGAAAACCGCAACTGCAAGTTGAACCATGATGGTCTAGCCGCTATCCTACACAAGTTTCCTCAACAGAGCCTCTGCTGTGGTGGCCGCTGAGCACGCCAAGAAGATGAGGAAGGATGCAACAGCAATGAGTCATCTGAGGAGCGTTGGTTGAGCCACCTCAGGCCTTCCAGCTTTATCAACAGTTGGGCCCAGACTGCAGCCCAGCGCGTTTCAACACAAGGACAAGTGCAGCCCGTAAGCGGCATGGAACATCGGGGAATGCCAATGGTTGACCTAGTTAACGATAGAAGTATTTTTCAAACTCTTACTATTTGCCATGAGCTGAGTACTTCGATTTTTTTCAGGGCCTCTCAAGCCGGATCCGCAAACAATGCTGAAATTGTCCACCCGGTCCCGAAATAGAAGTACTAAGATATTAGAAGTCGCATCCGGTTCTGCAGATCCAGAGAGTTTCTTTGGAAAAAGAGCGTATTTCAGAGTTTTCTAGAAAATATCAGAAACGAAATAAGGCAGCTTCTGAAGACACGCTGTTTCGCTCACGCACAGGAGAAGGGGGTGAGGTGAGGGCAGGTGCAGGTGGGTGAGAGGGGGCGAGTTTGTGATGGGGGTGGGGGGTTGCGGGTTGGGTCGGGGGGGGGGGGGGGGGCAGCGCGGATTGTCCTTTGCTGTTGTGTCGGGGTCCCTTACAGGATCCGGCTGTGTCCTTTGCACTTGCAACCTTTTGTTTCGGACGACCACAACGGCACAAAAAGATGAGCCTATGTAAGGCAGTGGAAGTAAAACGGAAGGGTTCGGGTTGAGGTTTTGAGAGGGGAGCATGGGGAGAAGGAGACCAAGAAGGAGGAACGGGAGGGGGAGAACGAACTACCAAAAACAATAAGAAACATGAGGGGAAACGGAGACGCATGCGAGAATGGGAGGCGACAAAGGGGAGATAGGATATTTGGCAAGGGTGGAAGGACAGGGCAGCAGCTTGCCGCCTTTCCAACATTCGAAACGCCTCCCCCACAACAGGCTTATGAGACTTGTGGCAAGTCGAGGCTAGTGCGAGAAAAATGCGACTTGAAGCCCCAGTATGCAGGGAGGCAAGAAATGTCCAAACATGTCACATCAGAGCAACGACTGAACCGTTGACCGGGAAGGTTTGTCGTAGGCACAGTGCGGTTCGCTGACGAATTTTTGCACTGTGTTTCCTGATTCTGCTGATCTTGGGCTGCTCTTAGTTCCAAAGGCCTGAGACACCATCTCCTCCCCGACTACCATCAAAGAGATGAGCCGGCAACACGACTGTGTTCAGAGCATTCGTTTCTTGCAAACCCGAAGGCCTAAGAGGTGAACAGCCCAAGATTCTTTGTGTCCACCCGCCCCCGGCCAAGCCGGGTGGCTGCTGCGAACGTTGCTAGCCAGAGCGCCAGACACGACACTGATTGCAGGCCATAGTGCCATAGTACACCAGCCCTCGTGTACTTTCGTCCAGTAACCACGGTAAGGAGCTTGCAGCCGACTGGCGCTAGCTTCAAACTTGTAGTTCCCGGCCAACACATGCCCAAACACAAGACCATGCTCTGACAGGGACTGTCACGTATCGGCACATCGTTGTGAGTCTGAGATTGACCAGACGGCCAGGGAGAGCAGAGGAAAATGGAATCCCAGTCCGAACCAGAGACCTTAATATTGGGGATGGTCTTGTTTCTTTCTTGTGCCTGTCCAGTATTGGCTCGTGTGTCTGACCCTTGTGAGTCAAGCAGAGTCTTATCAACTCTGTGTCTTGTGTGTCTTTGTTCTCGGCATTGGACGTTGCCATCGCAAAAAAACATGGGCCTCCGGGCGCCGGCTTGCAGCATGACCCCATTCGCAGTGAATGGGGAAAGTAAGGAGCTAAGAGCTAGGCATAGACTGCATAGGCCTGGATATGTCCTGCCTGAGAATCCGGATCCGATCATCCCTGGCCTAGGATGATCCTCAGGAGCCCATTCAAAAACATGAGAGATGGATTTGTGCTCGACTTTGTTGGTGCCTCATGCTGCCTTTACGCAGCGGACACAGCTGGGATAGAGCCAGATCGACCAGCAATCGCCAGCGACTGCCATTCTTAGGCGACAGGGGGCACCATCGCGCTGCCCAGCACCTTTCAGTGTGCTCCGTTTGGTCTGGCAGCATCAGACAACCAGGATGTGTCGTATACCTCGTGGAAGCTACCCTACTGGACCCGCAAACCCAAGGCAAAACCCAAGCCCATGCCTCCACCGAAGCCCCACGAAACGCAGGCCGAAAACCCCAAGCAGGATCAAGCAGGTCGCTAAATTCTCGAACTTGCCAAGCAAGGCGTTCCAGAGGCCAGTTTTCCGCACGGTGTCGAACCCTTCTCTGTGGATTGGTACCTGGTGGTTCTTCAACTCTTCCAGGGGCACATTCAGAGCCGATGCCGAGGCAAAGCCCGAACTCTCGATCTAGGCACCAGTCTGTTGGACTTGCATGTTCTTGCAGTTTTTGCATGTTGCTTTGCATGTTGCTTTTGCGCGCGGCTGTATTCAAGGTGCTGTTAGCAGACTCCGGAGAACAGGGCTCAGACTCAGGAACTCTTGGGGTGTAAGCCTGAGCTTATTTAGCCTGAAGTACCCACTCCGTTTCTGAACAGAGATGGTGCCAAGTTTTGCCCACGAAGACTACCCTGAGCACATCTCGAGAATGCTGGACTCGCTCCATCCTCCAACCAAGAACCCTTCTTGTCCTTGTTCTGGGTTGCGCCATTTCGCATCAGCTGATCTCAGCATGCAGCTTGTCCTCATTATCACCGAGGTTTGCAGGGTGTCATTGGCCGATGTTTTTGTTTCTGGCAGTGCCCCAGCAAACTGCCCCAGATGTGAAGTCATTGCAAGTTGTCATCTGCTTTTGTTACACTGCTGAGCAATATTGCTGCCTCCGCATACATCACCTGCAAGGTCCTGGTTCCCGCCAGGCACTTCCTTGCGAGTTCGGACAGAAGTGACAGGTTCTTCATGACACTCTGGTGTGCACAGATGCATACACAGGTCCGATAAAAGCAACCGTTTGCCTGAAAATGCGAAGGCCGTGTTAACATGACATATACGTGGGGGAGCCATTCAAGAGCTCAATGGGATCTGCTGCTGTAGGCGACGTTGCAGTTGGGTATCAAGGGAAGGAATCTGCAGATAGTCAAATCAGGACAGTCCCACAAGTTCACATTAATTCTTGCGCAGGCTTTCCACGGACCCAGCCGGCAACTGAGAAGGATCCATCCTTGTTGATCGCACCGGTCGTTTCTCACGGTACAGTCAATCGCCTTGTGGTCCGGTTCGTGCTTGAATTTCGAATTACTGCCGGAGCACGGCTAGAAGGCCTCTTGCTGTAGATTGGTGCTCCAGATCCCCGGAGCCCAGACAGGTCCACCCCACTGTAGTGGATACGGTCGATTTGGAGCTCTTCGGGAAGCCACTAGGTCACTAGGTGCAACGATCAACAATGATCATGATCAGCTTTGCGGCTCAGGTTCATAAGCAGCGATGTCGCTCTGAAGGAGTTTGGTGCTTGCATGTGCCACCCACGCTGCACTTCTTGTGCCTTGTTCGATGTTGCATGGTGTGCTTCTACCAGGACAGTTGAACGAAACTATGTATAGAAGTGAGCCTGTACCAAGAAAAGTCATTCTTAGATGTTGTTAGGGTTCTTCGCTGCAGTGCGTTGTGCGTCCCCCGATGTTCGCAGTGTGAGACGCAGGACGTGGTGCTGGTTTCTTCGCGGAAGCTTCCAGATGGTTTTGAGAGCTCCGCGTCTGCAATATGCTGAAGTGGACTTGACTTTGGGTTTATTTCAGGGGTCCCGAAAAAGAAAGAATCTCGTTTAGAAACCCTCTCGAACTGACGCTGAGGATGGCCTTTGCAGGTCATGGCGGCGCGTGACTATCCAGCAGAAGGGCTTCCAAATGCTTCTTGGCTTTCGCACGGTCTTTTTCGGTGTACCAGAATAATCAAAGGTTCTGACAGGTGCATGTCGACACACCTTGACACCTGTCCGCGGCAGACCCTGGCCGTGCCGTTGCAAAGACGTGCGCAGGTTTACCTCTATGGCTCAGAGCAAGACGCGCGGGCCTCGGGAAATCTCGAGAACCTCGGGAATCTGAAACAAGTGGGAGATGAAGTTTTTGTTTACAGGATGCACGGAGATGGAACTGATGAGGAGCTGCAGAGGGCCATAGAACCAACACCCGAAAGGGCCAGAAGGTCAGTCTTTGGCCTGAGGTGGAGCTCATGGCAAGTCGGCGACCTGTGTTGGGTTCCTTCGTGCAGGCGCCAGGGTCCTGGGATGATGATGCAGTCTAAGGCCGCTGCCTAGAGCATTGTGTGGAGCTTGAGGTTTCAGTAGGTCTCATGAAGGTGTCACTGCACACAAGTGATAGAAGAGTATCTCAGGATCTCTCAGGCAGCTGCACAAAGGTGGTCGTAGGTGTCTACACAGGCGTCAGCAAATTCAGTGAGCTTGGACGGCAGGTCATGGCCTGGGAAGAGTTGATACAACAGATCAGCTCAAGGTGCAAAGCATGTGCTGGTGGGCAGATTCCAGCAAGTGTAGGAAGCCGGACTTGTGAAGTTTGTGGCCCTGGACCCTGGGCTGCATAGCATTGTCAAGCGGTGGCTGACGGCAGCTATGGTTGTTGATCCGCTGAAATGCGGCAGCTCAAACAGCTAGTGCTTGTACGCTTGTACGTCGCAGCTCCCGCACCTAGCTCGTGCGAGACATGCTGCCAAGAATTGTAGTTGTCTGTCAAGACTGACAATTGAGCAGCGGACTCGATCTGATCTACAGAAGCTTCTCTCACACAGACGTAGAAATTTGCAGCTGACAGGCATGTCCTCACCCTACAGGAGGCAATCCTGAGGCTGGCCATTTCAATCGAGCGCACTTGCAGATTCTTGCTGAAGCGCCTTGCCGTTCGGATGTTGAGGCAAGCCCAGACAAGGCCCCAACAGGTGGCGCTGATCTACGAAGTGGCATGACAGCACTCCGAAGGAATGGAGCAGATTGGGTCGCCCTAATAGGTGGCAAGTTCCAAAAAAGCCGTAAAATGTTGCGTGGCAATCCCTATACACCTTGCCTGGAGATGTTGGGTAAACCGAATAGGTGGCAACTCCGAAACTCCTGAAAGTGTGGCAGGCGCTAAACCAAATCTGAAAACCCCTAAATCTTACCTGGCTTGCCCTAAGCCTTAAGAAACTTATTTGGGGAAATCATAGCAGTTGGCAGATCTGACAAAAAACGTTGCGACTCTAAATGGAGATGATGATCCTAATGAGTTGCAAGTCCGATATTTCCCTGAAGAGCCTCAAATGTTAGGTGGCAAGCATGGTGGCAAACCCTAAGCTTTAAAGAGATGTTGGGTAGCAAGCGCTTGCTGGCAAACCCTAAGCCCCCAACGGTGACATGATGGTGAGAGGACATGCTGGGCCCGAAGCCCTAAAAGGAGATGTTGGGTAAGAATTAGTTTCCTACAACTTACAAGTACGCAAGAAGCAAGTTGCAAGTACCAGCCCTCCGTCCAAGCGCTTCAGTCTTGGTCCCCAGGACAGCCAATGGAGCTACGAGGAGTTCTGCTCTGCAGCCATCAGTCTAAGAGAAGCTCGGAAGATCTCGGAAGCATGGGCTCCTCAAGAGGCCTTGTGCCTTCCATGCGCTTCTAAGGACTACTTGCTGAACCAGGGCTTGGATCCCACTGCAGGTGGAACTTGGAGTGCGAGTAGCCATTTGTGATGCGATCTTATACAATGTTCTGGGTGAATGCCTTGGGCACCAGTCGTCGCGCATCGAACCTGCAAAGTACGGCTTTGGATGCAGGCCCTGTGGGAGTTCGAATCGATGCCTCCGACATTGGCAGTATATGCCGCCAGCTGAAATGGACATTCCCGGGTTCTGTCTGGAATGTGTAGAGTGCGGTGCTTGAACCCGACGGCTGGATTTGTTGAAGATTATCCTGCCCTAGGCCACATGGCACTGCTGTCGGGCCGCTTCGTAATCTATGTCCTCGCTTCCTTGCTGCAAGTAAGACTAGGCGTATGTGTTTCTACGCAGGCACTTCAGCAACTTTGCTTTTGTAATTGTAAACGGGCCGGCCCAACGCGCGGTGTAGCGTGCGCATCGCCGACGAAGGAAAGCCAAAGTCATTAGTCGCTTGGTGCAGCGCCACACACGTCATAAGTTCAGGAGGTAAAGGGGCTTCAGGAGTTTTGACTAGTAGCAACGTTTCATACGGAATTGCCGGGCTCAAAGTATTGTCACAAAGCGAAGCACTGTCCAATGCAGTCTGACACGTTAAGTAGGGCGGTCCAGGGGAGTCAAGGGGGTTGGAGGAGAAATGTCAAAGGGGGTACCAAGGGCGGGGGGATCGGTCGCACGGGGGTTCCGAGGTCGCACAGGGAGCAGGAGGGGGAAGGGGTGGGAAGGGAAGAAGACCTTCCTGGTCTGCTTGTTCCAGATACCTCTCGGCCGGATGCCGAGGCGAATTCAGAAGCTGTCGCAAGTTGCCTTTACTGGATTCTGACAGGATTGGGACAAAAACATGTAGCCTTCTGCAGACGGTTGCTTGCTTGTGATTGATTGATGTGAGCTACTGAGGACGCTGGTGTGGCCAGCCAGACATACCGCTTGAGCCACGTGCGCAACCAGGTGCGGTGCCGCAGAGGAGATGTTTCTCTCAACCTCCCGCCCAGCCCGTTCTACCCTACAGCCGTCACAGTTCCGCTGTAGCTCCAAACAATGCCTTAAAATGCCTCGAAGCATCTCTCCGATATGCTGTGCACAGCGTCATGTTCCGACAATGACATGGGAAGAACCACTACTCCTCACGCACAGTAGTCGGAAAGCACTGGTTCCGAAATGCCGTCTTCATCGACCTCACCTTCGGTGACACCTTTAGAATTGGTGTGCGATAGCCTCCCCCCCCCCCTTCCCCTCCCCGAAAAGATAACTAGTTCACTATCTCCAGGCAGTGCTGACGGTTGCAGGTGGGGAGCCCAGCATGCCGCCAGGGAGCTCTGTGGAGCACAAAGGGGAACACCCCGGAGAGCGAGACAACCCCCCGTCTGCGAACGATTTTTTGCAAGTGATTCGTTTTAAATTGCAGAGTGGCCAATAAGATTAGAACGTCTTTGGCCTAAAGCCGACAGCCCTGAAAAGAGAGTCCGAGACCAGATGTTCGAAGGGGTTCAAGCGCAAGCACAATCATTGTCGTCAGGAGCAAGCTTAATCCCAGACGCAAATCTTGCCTGGGCCTGAGGGTTCATGTCACTACTGGATCTCATGGCTCACATATGAGGAATGCTCGGGAGCACATTACAGCTCATTACAGCTCATTACAGTTTGCAACCTGGCACCTCGCCCCTCCTTGCCGCTCCAAGATCCGTGCTCTACTCCGAGGTGCCCAGAATTTTTTATGTCGATCAGAGCCGGAGCTGCACAGAATCCGTGCGTGGATAAAGGGCCTGGGCTACAGCTGTTGAAGCTCGATCCGATGCCCTAGATTCCCGGGATGCCCAAGAAGTGTTCAAGAAGCGTGCTCGGGGGCAGATTTCGGAATGCGTCCTCGGCGATTCGGCGAAAAGTACCTACAAAATGGCACGCAGAGGTTGAATGCGATGTGTTTCCTTCAGTGGGAACCCATTTCGTAACGTTTCTGGGTTTCAATCGGCAGGAGGCTCATCAAGCTTAACAGTGAAGGCGTGAAGGCCCTAGGCTTGAAACTCTAAGTCTTGAACCGTAGAATGTTTTCCAAGTCCAACCAACAAGACGATAAGTACTCCGTCCAGTACTCCGTCCTGCGAATACTGAGAAAAAGCAATCCCCGGATACATTAGGATGCGATGGAGGGGGTCGGAGGAAGCGATTGGTGGTGGAAGGCTGCGTTTTGGCATCCACACGGGCCTGTCCGGGTCGCGATCCTCGAAATTCTCGTAGATTTTTGGAGCCTGAGCTTGTTTTCGCGCGTTCAATGGCTGACAGTTTCGAGGATCAGGCTTGGCGGGGGTCATTTGTGATGACATCAATCTATACTGAAGCTTAAACTGGTCTTCGCGTGTCAAAGAAGGCAAGCAGCTACACAGATCTGGCAACTGCCGTTGTCTTTTGGTCTGCAGGACGCCAGCAAAAAGGTGATCAAACCAACAAGTGCCCGAACATTCCAGTCAATGTGGTCAGGCTCCAAAATCTTCTCCTGAGGATCCCACTGGACAAGCGCAGACCCGTTGAAACGCTGCGTGTGTCAGGCGACTTGTCTCGTTTAGTTTGAGTCTGTGTACCAACCTGACCACCAACAACCCGAAGTTCCTTGCAGGTATGTTCACGTTCCCAAGCGCCAACATTTTGAGTTGCCCAACACAAGTGGTACAGTTCCTTGTCAGAGGGCTAGAGTTTGCCCAGGTGATTTGAATGATGTGGCATTTCTGGAATACACCTCCGGTTCCACCGGCAATCCCAAAGGAGTTGCTACGCAGCAGTTCCGCTCCTCGACTGCTGGTTGAGAGTGTGAGAGTTAACCTGACAATTCTGCACTGAAAGGTCCTGGTGCTTGATGGAAAGCTGCGAAGTGGCATGCAATCTTCAGCTATTTGATTCCAGATGCTAGGTATCTCGCACTGGTCAGCGTGGCACGCCTTCAGTTTTCCTGCGCCTGGCCGTTGCCTGGCTGTGATCGCTGAGTAATGCTGAGTAGTGCTGAGTAATGCTGAGGATCTGACACCTGAAAGGCGGAGTCTCCGGAGGATCTATGTTGAGAACCAGTAGTCATCAGAGCCCTAGTTTGTGCGCATGTGGGTGTACTTCTGTTTTCGCATCGTGAGGTGCCAAGAACATAGGTCAGCTGTAAATCACTTCCAACGTAAGTGTTCTGCGGCCGGCTGCAGGGAGGATGGGGGGCGGACGGCAATGAAATCGTGGTAGGTGCTCGCGTTAGCCGGGGGTCAGGGATGCTGTTGTGACCACAGATGGGGCCCTCAAGATGGTGGGTAGAGCACTTCATGATACTCCTGAGGCCCAACGGCCACGACCCATCACAGAGCTTGTAGACACCTGTGTGATGGATGTCTGCAACAAAGGCAGAACATATGCTTGCTAATGGAATGCTAGTGCTTCCATCAGTGCTTGCGGACCATGAGACACCCCGACATCGGCTGAGGAGATGCGATCAATTCTTTTTGGCCCCGCGCTTGGAGGGAGGTTGGATGACTTGCAGTGTATGGCATTGTAAGGTTTCAAACGATGGTCAGTCAGACTCCTCGCAACCAAGTGACCTACCAACGATCAAGCCTATTAGCACTTTGCGATCGCAGATGCAAGAAAGACACAAG